ACTCTCTGTTCCGAGAGTAAAGAAAAAAAAAAAAATTCATAAGAAATGATCATTCTCTCTCTTCTCCTCCACTTTCTCATCACCTCCTCTCCTTCCCTCTCTCTCTCCCCCGACGGCCTCGCCTTACTCTCCCTCAAATCCGCCGTCGATCAATCCTCCTCCTCCTCCTCCTCCCCTTTCTCCGACTGGAACGACAACGACTCCGATCCCTGCCGCTGGACAGGCATCTCCTGTATGAACATCTCCTCAACCTCACGCGTCGTCGGAATCTCCCTCGCCGGAAAACACCTCCGCGGCTACATCCCCTCGGAGCTCGGGTCGCTAAACTACCTCCGCCGTCTCAACCTCCACGACAACGAGCTCTCCGGCTCCATCCCTACTCAGCTCTTCAACGCAACGGCGCTTCACAGTCTCTTCCTATACGGAAACAACCTCTCCGGCTCTCTGCCGCCGTCGATCTGTACCCTCCCAAGGCTTCAGAACCTCGACTTATCGAGAAATTCTCTCTCCGGAACACTCTCTCCTGATCTCGGAGACTGTAAACAGCTCCAGAGACTGATCCTCGCCGGAAATAAATTTTCCGGCGAAATTCCGGGGGAAGTATGGCCGGAGTTGAAGAGTCTCGCTCAGCTTGATCTCTCTTCGAACCAGTTCACGGGTTCGATTCCTAGAGAGCTCGGAGAATTGAAATCAATTTCCGGTACACTTAATCTCTCATTTAATCACTTAACCGGAGAGATCCCGAATTCATTAGGGAATTTACCGGTTACTGTCTCTCTCGATCTTAGAAACAATAACTTAACCGGGGAAATCCCTCAAACCGGTTCTTTCTCTAACCAAGGACCAACCGCTTTCCTCAATAATCCGAAACTCTGCGGGTTTCCTCTTCAAAAGTCATGTAACAAGACGTCTCCGGAGAGACGAAAGTCGCCGGAGAAGGCCATGGATTCAAGAAAAGGGCTGAGCACGGGATTGATAGTGTTGATCTCGGTGGCTGATGCAGCGAGTGTAGCCCTAATAGGGTTGGTGATAGTTTACTTGTACTGGAAGAAAAAGGACTCAGAAGGAGGGTGTAGCTGCACAGGGAACGAGAAACTCGGTGGTGGTTCCGAGAAAGGCAAAACTTGCTGTTGTGTCGGTGGGTTTCCTAAAGAAGATGATTCAGAAGCTGAGGATAACGAGAGGGGTGAGGCTGCTAGAGGAGAAGGAGAGCTTGTGGCGATTGATAAAGGGTTCTCGTTTGAGTTAGACGAGCTTCTGAGAGCATCTGCTTATGTTCTTGGGAAGAGTGGGTTGGGGATAGTTTATAAAGTGGTGCTTGGGAATGGAGTTCCGGTGGCTGTACGGAGACTTGGAGAAGGAGGAGAACAGAGGTATAAGGAGTTTGTGACGGAGGTTCAAGCGATGGGGAAGGTGAAGCATCCTAATGTGGTGAAGTTAAGAGCTTATTATTGGGCCCCTGATGAGAAGCTATTGATCAGTGACTTCGTCAATAACGGCAGTTTAGCTGACGCACTTAGAGGTAAAACACTTACTAAGACTATAAAAGTAAATCTTAGGTTGACTTTGTCAATGGTTTTGTATGATGACGTCAGGTTGAGGTTAGATGTGACATAGTCTTTTGCTTGTAGGGTCAACATCTGGTTGAGTGGTTAAGATCCCATCTACTAATCCTTTAAAAGCTTACACACTCGAATATTTTTAAATTATTTTGTTTTGTTTTTGTCTATACAAACACTTCAATATTCTATTCAAACAATGATCAGCTTGCTGTTTTTTTTTTGTTTTTTTTGAAAATTGGACCAAGATTTCTTTCTCTATCAGGCATCTTTTTGTTTTTTCTTGAATAGTATAGTTTGATTAACAAGTAACAGAACACATCGCTTGTGTATAATTTTTTTTTTAGCTTGTGTAATACTTTTTTTTTTAGCTTGTGTATAATTTACTGTAAAGTAGAAGTAATTAGTAAAAAAAATTAGTGGGGATGAAAAACAATGATGAGATATTTAAAATGGAGTAGGAGAGAGAGATGACTTGCAGGTTAAGACTTAAGAGTAATGATTCTACATACCAACCTCGCTGGATGCTCTAATTGACATGTCTTTTTCTCATCTCAGTTACATTATTATTTTGTTTATTTGATTAGAGGTTTCTTTGGTAAATAGGTAGGAATGGTCAACCATCACCTAGCCTAACATGGTCAACGCGACTAAAGATCGCAAAAGGAGCAGCACGTGGGCTAGCATATCTACACGAATGCAGTCCAAGAAAGTTAGTACACGGCGACGTGAAGCCTTCAAACATCCTTCTCGACTCATCCTTCACTCCATACATCTCCGACTTCGGTCTCACGCGTCTCATCACCATCACCGCGCCTTCCGGTGAGCCCTCCTCCTCCTCCGGAGCCGCCGGAGGTTTCTTAGGAGGAGCTCTCCCTTACACTTCTATCAAACCGTCAGATAGATCCAACGGCTACAAAGCCCCTGAGGCTCGTCTCCCTGGAAGCAAAGCAGCTCAGAAATGGGACGTGTACTCGTTCGGTGTGGTGCTTATGGAGCTTCTCACCGGGAAGTCTCCGGATTCTTCGCCGCTAAGCTCGTCTTCGTCGTCCACGGTGGTTGCTGAGGTGACGGATTTGGTGAAGTGGGTGAGGAAAGGGTTTGAAGAGGAGACTCCGTTGTCGGATATGGTTGATCCGATGTTGCTTCAAGAAGTTCATGCTAAGCAACAGGTCTTGGCTGTTTTTCATCTTGCTCTTGCTTGTACTGAAGGTGACCCTGAGATTCGTCCACGTATGAAGAACGTATCTGAGAACATTGATAAAGTATGATTTGAGTTATTACCATATTCATTTTTGTCGTTTGGGTCCATTTTTTGTTTTATATGTAGTTCTTAATTTTACACGAGATCCCATAACTCACTCTAGAGTCTAGGGACCAGTCGTCAAATCTGTGTATTTTTTTGTTTTCTTCTTTTTTTTTGTTGAATAATTATTATTTCAAATGAAAATTCAATCAAATGGTTTATAGTATTTGAAATGTTGCAAAGTTAGTGAAATAAATCAAATGTATCAACATGTTCCAAAACAACACACACATTTACATATACCTGAATATTGGAATCTTTACCTGCTGCTGCTATGCTATTGTGGCGACTCTTCAGCACGGTTTCATCTCCTGGACAGTTAAAAATCGTAGGCAAGATTCAACTGAAGAAGGTTGTGCAAAACTGCCTCATCTCTTGTTGTCTACAAGATGGATGATGTTGCTACAATCTTTAGTCAGGAAAACAGCATGTGCACAGACAGAACATGTCTCTTAGATTGACGCAAAAATTAGTGGGCATCTGCTGTAAACATTTCTCTTAAAAGAAGACTCTTGGAAGATATCTTCATGTGCACAGAACATTTCTCTTAGATTGGAAGCTATCTTTGTAAGCAAATGAATCCACAACCACTTCTTCAAGACAAAAGTGTTTGAATATAGAAAGTTAACAAGATCATCACATTAACAAGAAGTTTTTGGAGAGATATAACTCCAAGTATTAGAGAGACAAGCTTTACGGTAAAAGACAGAGCAATCACACAATTAGAGCATAAGATTTATACTACGCAAATAGGATGGTTGCAAAAGTTATGAGACTCAATTGACAAAATAGCATAAAGATAATAACGTGTTTGACAATAGTCAAGGACTATCCAGTTCTTGAAGCAAGAGAGACCTAAGAGAACATCATTGTTGGATAGTCAGAAGATAGCATCTGATTGTATGGAATCCCCTGTTGTGTCTGCATAAACTGATCATCAAACTGCTGAAACATTGAGGTTTGAGTGTGCATCATAGGAGGAAGAATGATAGAGATAGGAAGATTTAAGTTGTTGCAGCTGCTCATTCCTTGTTCCCCAAGTAATTCATCCAAGTAATTAGTACCATAATCTTGATTACACGGAATCAGCGGTTGCTCAAAGCTAGGAAGAAGAGCAGAGGTGTTGGCCAATTGTGTGAAAGTGCCATTGTCATGGTTATACAACAAGATTGAGAACTTGCTCGGCTGATTCGTCAAGATTGGTTGATATTGATCCACATTAACTACCGAGGAAGCATAACCTAGATCCGTTGAAACAACTCCGTGATCCTGACCAGATTGAAGAAGTGATGATTGAATCTTTTCTCGTAATATCGTTAACTGAGTCTCCAAGGAATCCTCAATCACGAACACTTTCTTGGAGAATTTGTTGTCGTTTGCTCTGAGAGATGCCTTCTTCTCGTCCACCATCTTCTTGTTTAGAAACAGAGAGAGGTTGGTGCTTTTCTTGTTCCGTTCTTGTGCGCTTAACCTGCTGAATCGCTCGGCCATGGCTTTAACCTGGGATTCGTCGTTGTTATCAGGCCACGTCTTCACGAGGTTGCCTTCACGGTCATAGCAGATGATGCACACATTGATACCGCATAGCTCCGAGAGCTCGAATGCTTTCTTGAGAAGAGTCTTGGCTCGTGACTCGTATAAAGAAGAAGAAGAAGAAGGTTTCTTGAATAATGTATCTTTTCTCACCGATAATTTGGACTTCTTTCTCGTCGTCATTGTGCACGAAACTTTGTCACTTCTCAGGAGATTATTTTTGTTTCCTAGAAAAGAAAATAAGATTTTGTAAGTAATTAAGTATCTTCAGATATCTAGCAAAAAAGTAATAATCCTATAACGGTCAAAAAAACAACGAGAAACTTCGGGGAGGCTTAGATAGCAAGTAATTAAAAAAAGTGTGGAGAAACAACGCAACCAAAAAACATATCCAATCAGGTAAATTCTCTCTTTATATAAGATCACACACTCTCTAATAATAAGACTTTCCAATTACGCTTCACTTTGTCGTTGCTTCCAAACCCTAATTCTTTCCAATTACGCTTCACTTTGTCGTTGCTTCCAAACCCTAATTTTTTCTTTTGTTGTTGAGTCTGAGAAAAAGAGAGAGAATGATGCAGAAGCAAGAGTTCTTAGAATTGTTTGAGGCAGCAATTCTAGCCGCTAAAACTGCTGCGAGAGGAGGAGAGGGTAAGATAATAAGAATTCTCCGGCTGTCTCGAGGTGTGTCGACGCAATGATTCGTTTGAGAGAAGCTCCCGAGTCACTTGCGTGCGAGTTGGTCATCGATCGCAGATACCCTCAGATTGGAAAGAGTCACGGACTTTTCATGGATCACAAAAACCCTAGAATCCAATCCGAGGCAAAGGTTCTTTACTCTCTTTGGCTAAAGTATCTCTACGCCACCGGCAAGAAACAAAACCCACGACCTCGTGATCAAGGTCAAAGTAGACCAGTGGGGAATAAGAAGAAGAAGCTTGTCGAGGAGGAGATGAAGATTTCGAAGACGACGGGGGATTCTAACCGAGACAAAGTGCGTGAGATTCTTGCAAAAGCTTTGTCTAAAGTGGCTGATGAGATGAAGGAAGGAGTGGTTTCTTGCGATTCTTGGAGTGTGGCTGCGTCTGTTGAATCAGCCATGTTTGAGAAACTAGGTTCTTTTGAAGGGACTCAAAAAGCAAAGTACAGATCGATTCTTTTCAACATGGGAGACAGAAACAATCCAGACCTGAGGAGGAAAGTACTACTCGGAGAGATCAGTGGAGAAAGACTTGTGAGTATGGAGAAAGAAGAGATGGCTAGCAACAAGATTCAGATGGAAATTCAAAACATCAAAGAGAAAGCCAGAGTTAGGGATGAGAATCGAGTCAAGAGTATGTCGATGTTTCAGTCAGACATGATGATCATGACTTAGGGCAATATAGAAAGTCAGTTTATTAACAGTGTACAATTATTCTCTCTTGTATGGTTGGTGTGTGTACTCTGTGTTTAATTAGTAACTCTGTCTTGTTTCATTGTTAAAAACAAACATATGTTCTCAGTCTTATAACATAATCCGATTCAATGACTGATCCCAATGCCTCATGTATGTCTTTTTTAAAAAATACTCCCTTGGCAAAAAGAAGGTTTCCACAAAAGTATAATGACAGTTATACTTAACAATGTATAAACAGTTTTCCCATTAATTTTTATGTTACCTTGACACTACTTCAGTGACAGTGCCTAACGAGGTTCAGGTTTGCTTCAACAAGATTCTCTTACGAAGATAAAGTTTCCACACAAAAAAAAAGACTAACAGTAATACCAAACTAACATTGATATAAAACGTTTTCCACCAATTTTATACAAAGTTTCCGATCTTATTTTCAGCCATTGTCTCATTAGATACAGCAACATCAACTTTTACATGTTCGTTGCTAGAGTGACATTTGATACCGTTGTAATTGGATCATCTCGGGCTGGTTAATATCTTGCCCACATGAAGGGAGTTTGATATAGAAATTGTTGAGATTTTAGAACTCTTACCACTCTCAGCTGATTCTTCCTTCATTCTTCTGGCTTGTACTTCATTTAAATCTTCTCCTAAATATTCACATTCGTGTCTTAACGCTAATAACTAGCCTCAAATGCTTTTTTAATTGATTTAATAATAACAGACCAAACACGATTAGTCAAAGTCAACCCTAAACCCTGAGCTTCACTCATCATCATAGCTACCACTTTCTCCGATAATCACTCGACTGCATTTTCTCAATCTAATCATGACCGGAGCAAGCCGCCGGAGCACGCGTGGTCGCATCAAATCATCACCCTCCGGCACGGACGAAGGCCTCGATCCGCTTCGTTATAACCACAACCACCGAGGCAAAGGCAAGAAGGAACTCTTATCAATCGGCGCATTCAAATCAAATCTCAAGATACTTGTCGGATTAATGCTTCTAGGTATCGCAATCATCTACTTCGTCATCAACCAAATCATTACCCACGATCTAATCTCACAGAAGCCCCTTAGGGTTATCACTCCTTTCCCCGCTCCAAAACTCATGGATTTATCTATGGTATATTTAACACTCACAATTCGTTTCCTTTCATGCTCCTTATGAGAAATTGAATTGAAAGATTTCATCTTTGTATGTATATGTAACAGTTTCAGGGAGAGCATAAGGAGAGTTTGTACTGGGGGACTTACCGTCCTCATGTTTATTTTGGAGTTCGTGCGAGGTAAGGGAGAGTTTACAGTTCCTTGTGTTTATGTGAACTTTGGTTTCTTATTGTACTTATATATATGGTCAGTGCAGGACTCCAGAGTCTCTTGTGGGTGGTTTGATGTGGCTTGGTGTTAAGGATGAGATGTATGTTATGCGTCATTTCTGTGAGAACTCTGATGATCTTGGATCGTTTGGTTGGAGAGAACATAATGGGAGGGATTTTGGGAGGCAGGAGCTGGTTGAGAATGATATGGTGTTGGAGACGAGTTTTGTCAAGTCTAGAGGGGATGGGTTTGGTTATGGAGGGGATTGGTCTGTTCGGATTCATGTTAAAAATAAAGGGTATTAATTGCTAAGCTAGTGTCTGCTTTTCTTTTTAGTTTTGGTATTCATATTGTACTGGGGAGTGATAGAGTTTGTTTTTTTCTGCCTTTGGGATTAAATTAGGTTGAATGGTGATGCAAAGAGGAGTGCACATCTCTTCTTTTATTTAGCTGATGAAGGTGGCAGTGTTCTTAATCTAGGCCAAGATGCTTTAGATTTTCAAGGGAGTTCTCTCCTGGTTTCGGGTTCACGTGAAGATGTAGGAGACTGGCAGCTACACTTAAGATCTCAGGTATTTTCGTGATTTGAAATGCTCTTTAGAGATCTTATTATTTCTTGTAGCTGTCACTGCTGGAAGTGGATCTGTGGGTGGGTGATGTAATATTCTCCGTCCTGTTATCCCCTGAAGCTCATCTGGATGTAACCATTTTTTGTTTTGTTCTTGATTTGCAGAATCAGCTTGAGACACATTATTCTGGTTTCAAGACGCCTCACATATATAATCTGTCTGATCTAGTCCAGCGAAACCTCGCTCTGCAGGTCGGCTAATTTTTTAATTCATAACTCATTTAAAAAGGGCCCAAGGTACTTTGTGTTTTTTTCTATAAAGATGGCAATGCTTAAATGTCTCTTGGCTTGTATGTTTTCAGGCGAGGAAGTTTGGACGACTTCAGCTGTCTGACACATCAGAGGATTCTTCCAACATTTACATCTTTCAGGTAATCAGTCATTCAGTCTTAATGAAAATGTATGCTAGCTGTTGTATAAGTGAAACGAATGTTCTTCACTTCTATGGAATCTATGGTCAATATGTTCACCGTGTCCAATGTCAACGTATATTTTGTCATACAGATTTCTGGCAAGCTTCCATTTACGATAGATATTCCCTTCGTATCCGGGATCAAAGGAGAAAGTTCAAACGTGGAAAAGCGATTAACAAGTCTCACAGGTTTCTTAAGCCTCCTGTCACTAGTGATGTGTTTGAATTTTTTTAACCTTAGTTTGATTATGCATTCAGTTTGATTATCTAAGAAATTTTCACCCGGTAATGAGTGTGGTACATATACCTTTACCTTTCGAGTTTCATAGCTCAGATAAAGAACACTAATCTGAAATTTATGCGTGGTTTCTGTGTGTGTGATTTGTGTTCTTAATTATCCCTCCAACCTGAGGAAAATCAGTAGTGTCGCTAGGGATTACTAACTATATGTATCTGCTGTGGCCTGTGGGCTAATTTTAGTAGAGCTTCATTAAAGGAAATGTTTTCAGCATAGGCTTAGTTTTGATCATTAATAACAGTGATGTGATCTACTTTTACTGTATTTGCGCTAAGTTTCATATATATATATATATATATATATATATATATTTCATGTAGGTTTGCCACTTTCTGACCTGCTTCAAAGAAAACATAAAGAATTTGATGCGAAGTTTACGGAATGCTTCAAAATTTCTGGAGAGGTATGCTACTAATTGCTTTTAGTAAAATGTACAGACTTGGGCTACCCATGTTAATAGATGATCTTAGCACACCCATAGGTCTTGTAGATGGATGATCTTGATGTTCCTGTGAAATAACTTCTGTTAACAACATTGTCTGAATGTGTAGTCGAAAACAAAAACTGCTGAAAACTTACTGTATTTACGTACATAAACTTGATAGTCTGGCATCTATCCTAAATCCATATCGATGTTAATAGAAATGTTCAACTGAAGAAATGAGAATCTTATCCCAGTTTTCTTCTGGTTACAGCATGATTCAGAAACATTGGGGGTTGGCAAGACAGCATTTGCAAACATGCTTGGTGGCATTGGTTACTTCTATGGTCAATCAAAAATTCATGTTCCTAAAAGCACTCAGGCAAGTATTTACATCCTTCTTCTTGTGTGTCAATTTTAATCCCTTTTAAGTTTTTCCTATCTGCAAAATTAGCTTGGACCTCTCACACAATCCTTCTATTGCAGCCTGATAGTCAGGATAATTTCTTGCTCTATTGGCCAGCCGAGCTATACACAGCCGTTCCAAGCCGACCCTTTTTTCCTAGGGGATTTTTGTGGGACGAAGGTTTCCATCAGTTGTTGATCTGGTTCGTTCTTACATTCATGTGTTGAAGATTTATTTGATATGATGATGCTATTATGTTTCTTTCTAAAATGGATTTTCTTAAATGCTAGAATTTTGCAAGGAAAATATCTTAGTACAGAGTTGCAAGCTATAATTATCTTACTGTTTGATCATTCGTTGGATTGTGTTGTGTTTGCTTTGAACAGGCGCTGGGATTTCCGTATAACGTTGGATATCGTTGGACACTGGTTAGACCTATTGAACATAGATGGATGGATTCCACGTGAGCAAATTTTGGGTGCTGAAGCTTTGAGGTATCTTACACTCTCTCTCACTACCCGTGGTAGTCATGGCTATTGCTGTAATTTGTTTTTGAGAGTTTCTTCAACTGCAGTAAGGTTCCAGAGGAGTTCGTAGTTCAGTACCCGAGTAATGGCAATCCACCAACTCTGTTTTTGGTGATACGTGGTAAGAATCATCGTCATCATTTTTTATTTCATACAAGCCCTTGTGCCATACAAATTAAGTTTATTCTAATGCCAATCCTTGACCAGCACTTAATAAAGAACAGGGATCAGCAATATGTTTATCACCTTCCTTCTGTTGTTTAACTAATATTTTTGTTCCTTAGATGTCTAGAAATTTGTCACCAAAATCATATGAATGCTTTTACCTTGCAACTCAGTTTCTGGATTAAAAATGCGACTTGGTTAAAGTTAGAGAAAATCTTTCAAAATCAGTATAATTCCATGTAGTGACAAACTTCTTTTTCCAGATCTGATAGATGGTATCAAAACGGAAAAGTTTACCGCATCAGAAAGAGATGAGATATTGTCATTCCTTGAGCGGGCATATGTACGCTTAGATGCATGGTTTCAGTGGTTTAATACTTCCCAGACAGGTAACAACGTGGTCATTCACTACTTTTCTGATGTAAAACCATTAATTGATTTACAGGATCCTTTTAGCATTCAACTGCTCTTTATTTTAGAATTTGGGGGTATCTTAAGTGAGTTTTGTTTACCAATCACATTTGAATCGCTCACTAGTTGATGAGCTCTTGTGTTCAACTGATATTACAGTCTTAATATGGCTAAAGTGGGCTATTAATATATTAAGTTTTTCATGACTTGATTAAACACTAGGAAAGGAGAGAGGAAGCTACTTTTGGCACGGCAGAGACAACACAACAACTCGAGAACTCAACCCTAAGGTACCATCTCTTGGTTTCCCATGAAAATGTCTCAGATTTTCTTTGCTTCTTCGTTCAGTTACGTATCTGCGTATTTGGCAATTCAGTTGACAGATTTTTTAACAAACAAAAATATGATGTCTTATATCTCTTGCAGACGCTTTCCTCAGGGCTAGATGATTATCCCAGGGCTTCGCACCCAAGTGAAGATGAGCGACATGTTGATCTTAGATGCTGGATGTACCTCGCTGCAGATTGCATGCATTCAATCACAGAGCTTTTAGGAAAAGAAGATAAGCTTTCGAAGGTTAGCACAAGCTGGATAGCAAACGGTTAGCTCCCGTATTTTTTTCCTTCGCACTTTACTGACGTGAATCCTGCAGGAGGATTACAATTCAACTGCCAAGCTGCTTTCGAATTTTGATCTTCTGAATCAGGTCTATTCTCTAATCTGATGTCAGAAAATTTCCCTCTTTAACTAAGACGTGTAGTTTATGTATATATATAACTTGATTTCTGTAATACATGATTCTTTCCTAAAGCATTAACTTTTACTTCTTACCAATTATCTTCTCATTCACGGTTTATTTCTGCGCCAGATGCACTATGACAAGGACCATGGGGCTTACTTTGACTTTGGTAACCACACAGAAAAAGTAAGCAAAAGCTTTATAAGTTGATAGGCTTAAGTATGATTTTTTTGACATAGAGAAGAATAAAATAGGATTCTTTGTCTTTTCTTAAACCACATGTTACGTCGATTGATCCGCAGGTTAAGTTGATATGGAAGGAGGTAGTTTCAGAAAATGGTCACTTATCTCGACAGCTTGTGAGGAAGACTTTTGGAAAACCGAAGCTAACATTGGTTCCTCAAGTGGGTTATGTCAGCTTCTTTCCTTTCATGTCTAGAATCATCCCACCTGTGAGTTTTCTTTTTGTGTGATAATATTTAGTACATTATCCATGATCTTTGAAACCCTTAAGGACTAAATCTTCCTGTATTTTTTTGGTTGATAAAGGAGTCTCCAATCCTAGAGAAACAGCTTGATCTCATTTCAAACAGGAGCATTTTATGGAGTGACTATGGACTAGTTTCTCTTGCCAAAACCAGGCAAGCCCACAAGAACGAAGAACGAACATAACATACTCAGAAAATTTAGTTCTTACATGATAACAAAGAACATTGTTTTGTTGCAGTTCAATGTATATGAAACGTAACACTGAGCATGATGCACCATACTGGAGAGGTCCTATATGGATGAACATGAACTACATGATTCTTTCATCTCTGCACCATTACTCTAAAGGTACCCTCTACTCTCCACTTATTAAAAAGAGCTACAAGACATCATATACATTTGCTTTACCTTTTTCTCAAATTTACTGCAGTGGATGGTCCATATAGCGAAAAAGCAAGAGCAATTTACAAGGAACTAAGGAGCAATTTGATAAGGTATGAATACATGGTATCCACCCACCGCCATAGAGTTGTGTATGATATTTAACTTTGAACATGTCACAAAAAATGCAGGAACGTGGTTAGAAACTATTATGAGACAGGGTACATATGGGAACAATATGATCAAGATAAGGGAACAGGCAAAGGCACACGCCTCTTCACCGGCTGGTCTGCGCTTACCTTGTTAATTATGTCCGAAGAGTATCCCATTTTCTGAAATCCCATCTCCAAATTCGATGGAAGAAAAGCTAAAACTACAGACGCATGTTAGAAGAGACCAGTTTTGATAGAGAGCTTTTTCATATTCGGTCATGGTTAGCTTATAGAAAACACATACTGTCACAGTTAAAGACTAACGGTCACTTGTTGGCAAAGATATAGCATGAGCTGTAGCTTCTTTCTTCATCACATAGTCTTGTGGTATTTGAACAGTTTTGAAACATTACCTCAAAGTCTCAAACATCGTTTTAGGAAACAGTCATCACAAATCAAACATCAAATTGCATTAAATCATATGTTACAAGGAACAAACGGAGGAGAATCACTGCAACAACACTGAAGTAGTTTCAAAACAAAACACCTCTCCACTTTATTCAAACTGTATTTGAAATCAGTACTGTATCAACTTATTAAAGAGACAATGCTCTCTTCAATAGTATCAATAAGATCATATCGATCAGGCTGTGATTGTAACGCTGCATACACAAGAACCAGACAGTTTTATCTCAGATGTTTTCCACTGCTTGCCTGGTGCAGCAACCGGGTCATACAGTAAAGTGCTGTGCCCGGTCCCTTCCTGAGATGAGAAAAGCAGAACCTTCCCACTCAGCTTACCAAACTGGAACCCTGCCCTGGAGCTTCCTGAAAGTGGAAGAGCAACCACTTCCCAAGTTTCATCTTCTGCATTGAACACTGACATCTTCCTCTGGTTCTTCCAATCAATACAGAACAGCTTTTTTCCTACTTCAACATGAGCTGTCACCATCTGCAAACATATCCAAGTATGAGAATATACTTACAAAACCAAGTTAAAGAAACATACTCACTGATCAAAAGACTAAAAAAGACTTACAGTTAAACCGTTTTTGTTGCCACACCAGGACCCACACTGAGGGTTATACACATCAACAAGTTTTGAGTTACCAATACTAAAGTTAGATCTCCCACCCATCACGTAGAGCTTCCCGTTGAAGCTGCTAGCGAAACATCCCCACCTCGGACGCCGCAGAGACTCTATGAAAGTCCATACACCCGTCTCTGGATCATACACCTCTGCACTCGACAGACTCTCTCCATCAACACCGTGACCTCCCACCACATAAACAAGCCCATTCACCTCAGCACAAGCAAAGTCATAGCGAGCTTCCTTGAGTTCTTCTAGTTTACTCCAGCTGATTTTTCATTAAAAAAAAAAAAATCAAACAAATGTTCAAAAAAAAGAAACTTAAAATAAAAGTCTTAAAAGTCAAGAACAAGACTAACCTGTTGAGGCAAGTATCAAACTGATAAATATCAGAAGATGCAACAAGAGAACCGTTGATCAAAGCGCAACCAGCAACAACAAGAAGCTTCCCATCAACCACAACAACCTTAAACCCTGTTTTAACAGGACCAGGCATAGGTGGAAGAGATGATAGTTTATGTCCCTGACAGTTCATCACCTCCCAGTGGCTATCTTTCCCTCCAGCGTTCGTTGTCAAGACATAGAGCCACTCCTCAAGCATACCGGCGAGTCTTCTCACAGTAATAAACTCTTTGCTCTTGACAACATATCTCCATTTCTTGCATACACGTCCCATGGAAGGGAAGCTAGCACGCGGAACCAGCGCCAGACACAGCTTCGCCACGTCATCAGACAATCCCGGGATCAAAAGGTCGTCTTGGTAATTTTCAGACAGCAACCGTGAACTAACAACATCAAGATTATCTTTGGAGAAACACATGTTGTGGTTTAATACAACCCTTTTGTTCCCACTTATAGACGCTTGATGCATCTTTTGAATTTAAGAAAGTTTCTAACTAAAGTAAGTTTTATTTTTTGTGTGTGTGAAAGTGTTGTTTAAAGAATCTCGTGAAAACCGTCACGTATATTGATTTTCAAAGATAAAGGAATGAATAATGTAGCGGAGAAGAAGAAGAAGAAGACTATTGTAGTGAGCACTGATGAATGATGATGATGTCTAGCCTCTAGTTCATATTCCATACCAATGGCTTCGGTTTTACAAACGTTAGGATCTAAGATTGATGTTAAAGTAATGTTGTTGTTTCTTCTCAGACACATCTCTGTATATATAACCAAAGAACAAAAAACAAGATTAAAGATAATGTCAATAACAATTAAATAGAGTTCAAGATTATTATTATTTTTTTGCTAAAAAAAGAGAGTTCAAGATTGCAGCTAGAAAAAGAAAGAAGACATACATACCATTAAAGGTCAAAGCTAGAGAAGGAGATTTAGCCACCCGCAACGTCCATCTTTAGAATTTGCTAATGTTCTGCAAATTTAAAATTATCCAGAAAAAAGTCAAATTCTTGAACCAAGTCAAGAACAAATAAGAAATTTGATATTATCATCTATTTCTTGAAAAGAACATATAAATATGAAATTCCAATTCTAAACTTGGCCAAGATCTCAAGATCAGTGCTTCCATATATGGACAGAAGAAATTCCAAAATCAATAAAATTTACAGTAAAAATGAAGGAATCAATGGGAGGGATGGTGACCGACCTCAAGCGGATGATTCATTTCCAAAGAGGAAACTTTAAGAAAAATTGCTAAGACATTTATAGAAAGAAGAGCGAGAGAATGGCGGAAATAAATAACAGAGATAAAAAGGATAAAAGAAGATTGAACGTACCGACAGAATATGGAAGCGTTGTCGTGTTTGTGCGTTGAAGTTGGTGCACAGAAGATAACATTGACAGAAAGAGAAGATGTAATAATAATAATAATGGTTGAAGAATTAAAAGGGAACGTGAGATTATGAATTATTAATATAGCAAGATCAATGGAAGGAAGCAGCATACGGTGGATCATTCGCTGTAGGATAATAATGCCAACTATCACCACGTCCCTTTCACCCCCCCCATCACTATTTACTTTTTATATATTCGTATGCTTATTACACAAGACTTATTTTGATTCAGACAATGGGAAAAGAAAAACAAGACATGTTTTGATCAGTATTACATTTCTATCCACTTTTTTAGTTTAATATAGTGTGTCCAATTACCTCTTATTATAACTTAATACTTTATAAAATGTTCATACTTGTTCGTCATATGAAAGCAAAGCAACAAAAACAAAAAAAACTTTGAAAATCTTGTTTATGATCATTGACATAGTCTACTAACATAATAATAATAATAATAATAATAATAATAATAATAATAATAATAATAATAATAATAATAATAATAATAATAATAATAATAATAATAATAATAATAATAATAATAATAATAATAATAATAATAATAATAATAATAATAATAATAATAATAATAATAATAATAATAATAATCATATTTCTTACAAAATGCTTTTCAATACCCTAAATTCAACCAAGGACAACGAAATAAGAAAATTAATGGAGCAATATTAAGATGCTTTTTTGATCTAACTATAGGTGTAATTTACTAATACACAAATGAAAGAATCCTATGTATAGGGAAAAATGTTGACAATATCGACTATGGATTACTATGGTGCACAATAACAGTGGATTTTTAGTTACAATGAAATCACTTTTTATTCAAGGAACATGTCTTTTCTTTATAGGAACTTACTATTAGAGGTTAATTGAGTGATTAGTTTTATTATACGATTATTGGATGTAATTTATTTTGATATAAGCCAGCCAGTTTTCAAGTTATTAGAATTAATTAACCTCTTCAGACGCGGGAGATCTTTTGTGTCCAAATGAACGTGCAATCGTATCCTTCCCCTTCGTCTCTGTCGGTGGGACCACGAGGAGATCGGTTAAAATCGTGTGCCATTTTGCATTTATTCAGTCCAGTTTTTTTTCTTTGTAATATCATAGCTTCGATTATTTTCAAGAATTTTTTTTTCAAGAAATTGAAAGATTAGTATCCGTTTAGAAATGTATATTATATCATTGAAACGAAAAAAAAAGTTTCATAGTTCATCAGATCATCAAGAATGATTACTTTTTGAGGTAGGGATTTGCAATAGAATTATGATTTCAAAAATAGATGTTTACAAAACAAAGCTTACCCAAGTAGGTGTTGATTTAGAAAGTATTAGCAGTATGGGCTCAGTTTGTGATGTCAAGGCCCATGACAATGAAGCTCAACTCAAGCCCACTCCCAAGGTTCCTGCAACGGTCAAAACTAAAGATGCAGAAAAGACAAAGGAGTCAAGTGTGGCTAGGAGTACGGTCAAGCCAGCTCATGCGTTTGTTATGGAGAACAGATTTGGCTGTCTAAGGGAGTGTGNGGGCTCAGTTTGTGATGTCAAGGCCCATGACAATGAAGCTCAACTCAAGCCCACTCCCAAGGTTCCTGCAACGGTCAAAACTAAAGATGCAGAAAAGACAAAGGAGTCAAGTGTGGCTAGGAGTACGGTCAAGCCAGCTCATGCGTTTGTTATGGAGAACAGATTTGGCTGTCTAAGGGAGTGTGCTGTCATGGGATGATTCAGCTAAAGATAAGATTAGGTTAAGCTGAGGTCATGTTGTGAGCTTCACTATATATATCAAAATGTTGTAAACATTGAGATCAAGTTGAATAAAAACAAAAGTTGAAAGTTGTTCATCTTCATTCTACGTTTCCTTCTCTGATTCACATGGTATCAGAGCAATGGAAGAAAATGACGCAATCTCTACACCATCACTGGCAATATCTCAGTGTGTTACTCTCAAACTTTCGTCGAAGAATTATCTCTTGTGGAAGACTCAGTTTGAGTCCTTTTTGTCTTCACAATCTCTTCTTGGGTTCGTGAATGGAGGTTCTGTACGTCCTGCTCCAACTGTGACCGTTCGTAATGGAGAAGATGTCACTGAAGAAGCCAACCTAGAGTTCACAAAGTGGGTCAGAAAAGATCAGCTTGTTATGGCGTGGCTGTTTGGGTCGTTGACTGAAGAAGCACTGAGATCTGTGTATGGGTTACACTCTTCACAGGAAGTCTGGCTTGCTCTTGGGAAGAAGTACAACAGAGTCTCAGCCACAAGGAAACTGGATCTGCAAAGAAAACTCCAAGGTATGACAAAGGGTCAAAAGACTATGTCAGAATATCTTAGTGAAGTCAAGTCTGTCTGTGACCAGTTAGATTCAATAGGATGTCCTTTAACCGAACATGAGATTATCTATGGAGCTCTTACTGGTCTAGGCAAGGAGTATGAGTCGATTTGTACTGTGATTGAAAACTCTGTTGATTCTGTTCCTGAAATGAGTTTTGAGGATGCTGTGTTCAAGCTTGTGAACTTTGATGAAAAGCTGCAAAAATACACTCAACAGACAGAGACAAATCCGCACATGGCGTTTCATACTGGTCGTGGTAATAGCTCTCGTGGAAGAGGAGGTTACAGAGGAAGTTATAGAGGAGGCTACAGAGGTCGTGGCACTGGTACGTACTCCACACGAGGGCGTGGATTTAGTCAGCAGTTTGCAGGACGCTCAGGAAATGGGGATACCACACGTCCTACCTGTCAGATTTGTGGTCGCTTTGGTCACTCAGCTGTGCGTTGTTACAACAGGTTTGATCAGGATTATGAAAATTCAGAAGGTGTCCACAATGCCCTGTCCACGATGAAGTTGTCTGATCAGGAACAACAACAAGGAGGAGAATGGTATCCGCATTCTGCAGCGTCTGCACACATCACCAACAATCAGTCTCAGCTTCATTCTTCAGAACCTTATGCAGGTAATGATCAAGTGATTGTTGGTAATGGTGATTATTTGCCTATCACTCATGTGGGATCCGTTGCATTACATACAGCACAAGGTATTTTGAAACTTGATGATGTGTTAGTCTGCCCCAATATTACTAAGTCCTTGTTGTCTGTTTCAAAACTCACCTCTGCTTATCCCTGTGAGTTCACCTTTGATTGTGATTCTGTGTATGTTAAGGACAAGGAAACAAAGAAGGTGATAGCTCAAGGAAACAGGCATAAGGATCTTTATATGTTGAAGAATACACGGTTTCAAGCTTTCTACTCCACCAGGCAGCAAGCAACAAGTGATGAGGTTTGGCACCACAGATTGGGTCATCCTCACAAGGATATTCTTCAACGTTTAGTTCGTAGTAATGCAGTAGTTTTGAATAAGAAAGGACCGCAGTTGTTGTGTGATGCGTGTCAGTTAGGGAAGAGTTCAAGACTCCCATTTTTGTCATCTGAATCTGTTTCCAAAAGACCATTAGAAAAGATTCATTGTGATTTGTGGGGTCCAAGTCCTGTTTGTTCTTCTCAAGGATTTCAGTATTATGTGATTTTTGTGGATGGTTATTCAAGATTCACTTGGTTTTATCCTCTGAAGTTCAAATCTGATTTCTTTTCTGTCTTTGTTCGCTTTCAAAACATGGTAGAGAATCAGTTTGCTCTCAAGATATCTCAGTTTCAGTCAGATGGAGGTGGTGAATTCATTAGTCAACCATTTCTTCGTCATCTATCCAACTGTGGTATTCAACATCTTGTCTCATGTCCACATACTCCTCAACAGAATGGTGTATCTGAGAGGAAGCATAGACATATTACAGAGCTTGGTCTTACTATGCTTTTTCACAGTAAGGTTCCTCAAGAGTTATGGGTAGAAGCATTTTTCACAGCTGTCTTTCTCTGTAATCTTCTTCCTTCTTCGGTTCATGAAGAAGTTCAGAGTCCATATGAAGTGTTGCATGGAAAGCCCCCTGTTTACACATCGTTGAGAGTGTTTGGCTGTAAATGTTACCCGTATTTGAGACCATACATGAAGAACAAGCTTGACCCCAAGTCTCTACCGTGTGTGTTTCTTGGGTACAACGAAAAGTACAAA